GAACCCCCACTTCTACTGTGTCCCCCTCCTCTGTTCCCTGGACCTTCCCCCATGGTGAAATCCCCCCACCTCTGCCACAAAAACCCTCTTCCCAGCTGCAGTGACATCCTCTTTTTCTGTGAGCCCCCCTATTCTGCCTGAACTCCCCCACTTTCCCTGCTGCTCTCCTTAACCCCCCCTATTGCCGTGACCACCGGTCTGCAGCTGTCCCAGTCCTTTCAGGAGCATGGCAGCCGAGAGAGCAGTCATTTTCCTCTCCTAGTTTTCTGTGCCGTGGTCAACCGTTAACTCCCCAAATAGGGGAGGGTTGTAAGCTTTGATTGTTTAAAATGTCTCTCCTGCCTAGGTCGCAGGCAGGCCTTCAGTGCGGAGATTTATTCAGGAGCCTTTTAAAAATAATCCAGATGGAACCTTTGGGAGGGACTCTGCCGTATTTTATTTATGAAAAAAAACGCAGGCACCTCCCTGGGTACCGCGGCCAGTCATTTGTGTTTGTCAGTCTGCTTTTTGGGCGACGGGCATCTCAATGCAACATTGCAGAATTGAACCATCTACTTGAGGATGAGCCGGGCTAACCTTTGCCCTTGAGGGTTGCGTCTTCGGCAAGCGAGCGATTTTATAAACCACTGTGCAAATTTTGTTGCAGGGCACATCGGCCGTCAGACCTTGAAGTACTTTGTTTGTGCCAAATCATTACCACTTGCCACACACATGAGTCTAAATCATGGAGGATGCCAAGTACGTCCTCTGCAGATGGGAAAAGCGATTATGGCCTGCAAAGGTGACAGCCGTTATTCTGTAATTTCAGGAATTAGAAATGACTTTCTGGTGACAAGTAAAATCTTTATCAGGAGATACCTAGGAGTTGGCTTCAGTGAAATGATTGAGCTGGAACGGTTGGCACTGATTCCCAGTCCCCATGTAATGGGGTTTTGGTCTAGTGCTTACAAGGTTACGCTTCCGGAAGTGTCTTTTTCCACACTGAAAAAAAAAATTAACAGTCTCAGCTATAAAAAGGCACGTCGGGCTTTAACTCAAGGAAATATCTGGCAGGGAGCCCTGGGATAGTAAATAATGGTAGTATTTCGGGGAATCTTTCCAGCAATTGGGTAGAAAGTGCTGCACTGCAAGGCAGAAGCCCAGGTCCTTGTCTTGGTCTGCCTTGTGCCTCGGTTTCCCCATCTGTGCATTGAGGGGGTTGGACTGAGTAGCTCTGAAATCCCGTGGTTGGATACCTTAAGAATTACTTGCTGCGTTTGCATTTGTATGTTGCCACTGATTTGGTTCTCATCAGCTGTTTTATCTTAATAACGAGGATTTTTTTTTTTAAACATAGGTGTTGGCCAGAACTGAGACTTCAACAAAAAATAAGAGAAAAAAGGAATTTTTTCTAGATGTTCAAATACTCTCCCTAGAGGAAAAGTTAAGTGTTATGTTTTTTTAATACTGTTTTTTTTTTCTGTGTGGAGTTCTGATACTAAGCTTCCTGCCCCCGCCAAAAAAAGCAAGGCCCACTCTTAAGGGCTTATTACCTGCTTAGTTATTCTAACTCATTAGCGGTCATAATAACTTAACCTGACGAGGGAAACAATTGATTTAATTTTATGTCAGTTTGGAAATTGAAGATGTAAACAAGGTATTCTGTGAGAGCTATAGAGAGATCTGTGCCAAAATTGAGAATACATGTAAATTATACACAGGGTGAACTCTCTTTGGGGTTAAAATAGGGATATTTCCTTCCTAGGGACCTGTGTGTGTTTGTTTGGGAAACCTGTGTGACAGGCCCCTCAATTCTGAAATATTTGGATTTTGAGCCTGTCAAATTATTGAGCATTCAGAAGGCAAATAATCGATGATCAGGCAGTACGTTATTGTTCTCCTGGCGAGTATCTGGTGGTGGGAAGGTGTAGATCATCTGGGGTGGTGGCGATTGGAAGGCCCAGATCGTGTGCGGTGTGGCACGGCACGTCTGGTGGGAGAACTCCCAGTTCTGGAGGGAGCCGCGGTTAGGAGCCTCCTGGCTCCCCCGCCGCTCTTCCGTGGGAGCTCTCCGAGCCCCACTCCTTCTCCTTCCTGCTCGCGGATCTTCAGAGCTGCCTCCTAAGCTTGCTTGGCCCCAGCCCCACACTTTCCCTGCGGCTGGGAAGGTAATTGAATACTCGAGTTTAAAAGGAACGCACATCCTTTTAAACTAAAACACACCTGCTGGGCTGTAAACAGCTTTTAGTGACATTATCATCTACTCTGAAAATCTAACAAAGGAGTTATTTGTGCAGTTGAAAGTCGGATTTGCCTCATAAAAGTCATAATTTGAATTCATTTTTACTCTTAAATCCAGTCAACCTTTTCTGTCTTAAAAGGAAAAAGAAAAAAAAACCCATATTCACTAGGGTCCTTGCTGCCTGTAACCTCAGGCGTGTGAATTCCTAGTTGGCTGTGACGTTTGGTTTAAGAGGAAGGTCGAGGAGGAAACTGAATTTAATTCTTTTGTCATCTAAAGAAAAACATGTTTGAAAACGTCTTGGTGGTGGCGTGTAACGGTCTATTCTGTCTCTGCAGAATTAAGGTGAAAAGCACAGATGCTGAGGTCCTGAGGAAGTCTCAGATTGAAGCCATTGCCTCCTCGTTAGGTAAGAGCGCGTTTGTAGGTGACCATTGGGTTTCACAAAGTGAGAGAGTTTGGGGGAACGGAGAGACTCAGCTTTCTAGGTGAAAATTCTCCCTGTTAACCACTTTTTTTCCATATAAGGGAACATGAACCCCCTGAGCTGAAGGCGAAGAAAAAAGGGGTCCGCTTCCTTAAACCGTCCCACAATCTGCCCCTAGAACCAGTCCTGTTCTTGGCCCCCAGCGTGGTCAGGGTGAGCCTCGAGGTCACGTCCTTGCATCCGTGGCCTTCCATGTGCGCAGGAGGTGGGCCGCGCCGGCTCTGCGAGTAGTGGCAGTCTTTCCTTTTCTCTTTGCTCATCATAGTGAGACTTCTAGTTGGTTCTGTTGCTGTCTGGTCAGTCTGGTCTCAGCCTGAGCTTTGAGAACCAGCTGGTTGTGTGTTTGCCATTCGAGAGCAGAGCCGAAGGGAGGAGGAGTTGGCAGTCCGGGAGTTGGTGGCTGCCTGTGGTGTGTAGGTCCTATTGTAGGTGGGCACCAGGCAGGGCCATCGTGGGACTCTCTGCTACCCACGCCCTCTGCGTGGGAGATGAGACAGACCTTGCTGAAGCCAGGCCAGGGACGTACCACCCCCACACCCCGGGAGCAGCAAACTGCGCCCACCTAGTCACAGTTCAGCAAACCCAGACGTAGCCGTTCCTTCCTCTTCTCAAAGTGGGAGCATTTGTTCCACTTGCCAAGAATTGTTTGTCTTGTGAAAAGGTGGACCAGAACTCCTCCCAATGGTGCTTATAAAATAAGGCCTATTTTCCTGTGCCTCTGAGAAAAGTGGTTGTTCAGGGCAGGTGCCCCTCTGTACACCTGAGGCCAGGCTGACCATCCTGTCACATAGTGCCCTCTTCGTTGGCCCAGGTGGTGTTGGGGGGGCTGGTTATTCGTGGGTGCCTTTAATATTAAGCAGGGAATACTGTTTTGATTGCAGTATTGTGCCCGCTGAGTCGTGATACTGCATCCATCATCTTGTTCAAATAAATAGCTCCGTATCTACGTGTCGGAATGAATAAATAAAAGTATTGCAGCAGGGTGGTTGGGCTGCAAACCAAGGGCCCACGATGCTCTTTTCTGGCTTTGAAATGCCCTTGGAAAGAAGTATTGAAAACTTACCAGCCCACAATGAGTCTTTTTAATCAGCTATTCCTTGCCACCCTCCCCCCAGACCAGGAATACATTGCCGGCAGAATTCTTTCTGTAGTTGGCATTGATTTTTATTGACCCTGATTGAATTTGAAATTGTAAGGCTGAGAGAGGATTTGCAAAACATTTGAATACATTTTGCTCACGGTATTGTTTTGTAACTTGGAGGAATTTATCTTTTTAGCCAATCAGGTTAAGGTCAGTAAATTTGTGTTTTAAAAAAATGAAGCCTCAAAGCCCTGAGTGAATAGCTGCTGTTTTGTGGCCTTGTCTCCTTTTTGGGGAAACGTAGGTGAGAAATGTGAGTCTCCCCCTCACCCATCCAGGCTCAAAATCCAGGGTTGAAGTTAGACAAGCATGCTGTCAAAGCGATGCCGCGACAGCGACGCCCGGGTATCTGGACGTAACCAGGCATTATTTACTTTCAGTCCATGCGGCCTCGCAGAATGAGGCTCCTGCTGCGCCTCTGGAGGAGCTGACCTACAGACGGTCACTTCGGGTGGCTCTGGATGTTCTGAGCGAGAGAGCCAGTTCGAGCCAAGAAGGCTCTTCAAGGACAGGAGGAACGGCTCTGTCTCGGAGGGGGAAGCAGCCCACGGAGCTGGCCCCCTCGCTCTGCGATGCAGACTGTTGCCCACCTCAGGGGAGGAAGGAGTATGCACCACAAAGCCTGTCAGGTCCGTCCCCTTGTGAAAAGGACCCCCAGTGCAGAGTGAACCACAAGAAGGGGCTCAGGAAAAGTGCATACCCTGGAGGCCTGCCGGCCCCTGCGGCCGGAGATGGTTCTTCGGACGGCAGCAGGGCCAGAGTGCACGGCAGAGATTGGACTGTTACAAGTAAGAGGGGAAGAAATTCTGCGCAGAAGCCTAGCCCGTGCCAGAAGGTACCTTTGCCGTCAGAGGGAGAAAATGGCAGAGAGAGTGAGAGAAAGGCGGGCGGCTGGGCAGCCCCGTCCCCGCCCTGCAGGGTCAGGGAGGACGATCCCTGTGCCAGGGCCGAGGGCCGGGATCCAGGCCTACCGTCAGGCAGCCTCACAGTGCCCGCAGCCCCTGATCACTTGTCCTGCTCAGAGGCCGGAGAATGTCCCACCAAGAGGCCATGCCTGGACGGCTGCCAGAGGCCGCCCGCCACTCGGCTGGAGATGGGGGCCGCGGGGCCCGAGCTGTCCCCCAGGCAGGGGCTGAGGGAGCGCATGACCCTGCGCAGCGCCGCCAGGCCCGGCCAGCCTCCTCCACACGCTCCTGCCGAGGACACGAGAAGTCTCCGTCTCCCGGATTCCAGGAAGCTGGAGGAAGGTAAAGTTTGTCAGGGGAGGCCGAGGCGCTGGGAGAGCTGGCAGGGAGTTGTGGGAGTCGTGGTCCCCCCACGGCCACGTTCGAGCAGGCGCTTGTGTATTTTTAACCAGGTTTTGATGAGATTGTTACCAGAATAGATTCAGAGCAGAGATTTCCTCGTTCCTTCTTGTTCGTTTCCCTACTGGGCTATAATTACTTCAACTTCTCCCAGATATTTGTGTTTTTATTTTTGTTGGAAGCATAGGGCAGGGCGGGGAGGCTGGGGTGGAGGGTAACAGCGCGACTGCAGGCGCCGGCGACGGAGCGTGCGGCTGTGTGCAGGCCGCGTCTGCACCCCAGGGATTAACTCTTTTATTCTTTTTTTTTTTTTTTTTTTTTTTGAGACAGAGTATCACTCTGTTGCCCAGGCTAGAGTGCCGTGGCGTCAGCCTAGCTCACAGCAACCTCAAACTCCTGGGCTCGAGCAATCCTCCTGCCTCAGCCTCCCGAGTAGCTGGGACTACAGGCATGCGCCACCGTGCCCGGCTAATTATTTCTATATATTTTTAGCTGTCCAATTAATTTCTTCCTATTTTTGGTAGAGACGGGGTCTCGCTCTTGCTCAGGCTGGTCTCGAACTCCTGAGCTCAAACAATCCGCCCACCTCGGCCTCCCAGAGTGCTAGGATTACAGGCGTGAGCCACTGCGCCTGGCCTCTTTTATTCTTAACTCTGGCAGAAGCAGTAACGCGTTCCCTCTAAATGGGGCAGGAATCTCAAAAGTGATTAACTCATTTAAAAGGCTCCTGACTTTTTAGGATTGCTGTGTTGATGTGTTTTTGTGTGGTGGCCACCGCGCACCGAGCTAGCACTGTCTCGCCCCGCTATTTCTGAAGTGCTGGCTCGGAAACGTTAACGACCGCACGGTCAGCTGTCCCGGGGTCTGTTCTCTACAGACTTGCGACTAGATCTGTCTTTAGTGCACACCCCTCTCCTGAGGCCGCCTCCTTAGCAGGACTGAGGGCTGCGGGAGCCGACGTGTGGTTTTCGCCTCTGTGAAGACGCAGCGGCTGCACTCCTACCCTACCCTGCCTTGCTCCCTGCTCCTGGCGCCCTTGGAGCGGATGAGGCCCAGAGGAGTAAGCGTTGGGGACAAAAGGAAGCCCACCCAGAACGCACACAGCATCCCAGCCTCCAGCCTGCCTCTCGCGCTTTCACTTGTGACATGAAAGGCGCTCTCCCTCTCCCCTGTCACGTATCTTTCTCTGAAGCGACTTCAGGCGAAGCGCCCTGTTTGAATTTGGCAGTGTGGGATCTTTTCTTTATGCGTTGATGGTCATGTGTCACAAAGAGTTTTCTTGGGATGAGTTATTGAGACAGCGCGGTGACAGTGAGAGTCTCCCATGACATTGTTGCAGACCTTCAGTCTTCCGAGGAGTCCATGGAGTTCAGTTCCATCAACTCCATCCTGGAGGAAGACGAGGAAGAGGAGGAGCCGCCAAGAATCCTTTTATATCATGGTAAGAAGTGACCGTGGAGTGGCCTTCGGCGGTAATGCCAGAGTCAGCAGCAGCGTGGGCTAGTGTTCAGAGACTGTCCCTGACATCTGTCACCGCAAGTCTCTTGTTATTTAATTTTTCTCCTATTGAACTGAGACCTGGAAGGGACCTTAAGAAGTGCCACGTTGTCGGTCCTCTGTCTCGGGAGTAAGGCACACAAAAGGGAGCAGGGCTCCTGGGAAGAGATGGCCCAGCCCTCCCTGTTAGACACTGTTTCTCTGCTATCCTCAGCCCCGTCCTCACGTCCCGCAGTGGGAAGGAGGGATGGCTGGTGGGAAGACGGTTGTCGCCATTGCTGGGGTGTGGCTGCGGTCGGCCTCCTTTGGCGATGGCGTCTGGGCGTCTGACCAGGGAGGCAGGGTCTCTAGCCCCTCCCACAAGCAGCTGTCTGCACCAGAGGGAAACCTGCCTTTGGGTGCCACGGAGCGTGTGTGGAAGGGGTTTGAAATGAGACCCAAAGGTTCCAACCAGCAATGAGCAGAAAGTCAGTTTGCTTCATGAATGAAGTAATTTAGAACCAGTGACATTTTTAGACTCGCCCGTTACCCATCCACCGTAACCTAGTCTAGCCCTTTTTTTTTGGTTTGAGCCTTTTGGTTAAAAATTATAGATTCACAGGCTGTTGCAGAGATAGTGCAGGGGTTCTGGAGGGCCTTATGCCCGCTTCCCCCACGGCGACACCCCACAAGACTGCAGGGCAGTCACACAGCCGGGAAGCTGCCCGCTCCACGCATGCTCCTGTGCCGTGTGCGTGCACACACGTGTGCGTGCAGTCTTGCTGTGTAGTCCTTTTTTTGTCCAAAGTGCTTGAATGGTTTTCCATCATTGAATGAAGTTAATTACAATTTTGCGTTTTCCCTTTGTTCACCTGATGCTAACCCAGATTTTTTTTTACTTTTCCACATGATCTTCTAATCCTTCTTTGTGGTGACTGGTTATTATTTTCCAGGGGTGGCGAGTTGTCACTCACTGAGTCCTGCCCCACCCGTTGGGTGTGTCTGGGCTCCAGGACCACAGGTGTTGCAGGGCCCCCGTCCTGGGCTCCAGGAGACCGTCTCTGTGGGATCTGTTCCCAGAGTGAGGTTTGGCTGGAGAGGAGGGCACCGTGCCTTCTCCAGGGGCCTTTCCGCCCCCACCGCCCCCAGCCCGGGTCCAGTCGCCATAGCCCAGGTGTCTGCTCTTTTGTCTGTCGGCCGAGCGTGGTCGGAGGAGTCACCGACGGGCCTCTGAATTGGCCATTTGTCTGCATGGCCCCACCCAGTGGGAACCCACGCGGGTTGTATGGGCAGCAGGCGTCTTCCCCAGTCTGTCTTCCCTTTTATTTGGTCTCATTTTTTTACGTTATAGGCCTTTTGATTTTTATATAATTAAATATTGCAGCGTTTCCTTCTTCCCGCAAGTGTCAGCCGGGAACCTTTGTTCCGTGTGTATAAGAACAGCCTCTGTTTTCTACTAGTGTTTCTATTACTCGATTTTTTTTTTTTAATTTAATTCATTCGTTTTGGGGTTTTTGTTTTGGTATAGAAAATGCAGTTGAATTTTATTCATAAATAGTTTTGTAGTTATCTCATGATTTAAATAATTTTTCCCCATTTGTAATCCTAGTTTCTCAGATAAGCCTCGTAGAAACTTAATGGAAATTAAGTTCATAGGTTTGGATCTTTACTGGGTGCTGTTACCTCATCTCTGTTTAGTACACGCTCTTTCTTGACAGTGTCTTATTTCAGAATAATTTTAGACTTACAGAATTACACGTAGAGGACAGAGTCCCCCCTGCCTTGCGGCTTCCCTCCTGCTACCCCGCACGTTTTTCCCAGCTGAGAAGCCAACACTGCACCACGCTCCGAACTGCTGTCGTTGTGTTTTGCGGTCTCGTAATTGGCAGCTAGTCTTAAGTGACAGGAGTTACAAATCTGCCTTTCAAATTCTCTTGATCTTTTAAGTGAACTATGTTAAAATCAGATCTGAACAATATCAGAATAATCGTGTTTACTCAAGCTGTTGCACTTGGTGCTTGATGTGGATCTGACTTGTGTATTCTATCTTTTGTTTTTCTTTTTTCTTTCTTTCTTTCTTTTTTTAATTCTAGAACCACGTTCGTTTGAAGTAGGAATGCTAGTCTGGCTTAAATACCAAAAATACCCCTTCTGGCCAGCAGTGGTAAGAACGATCTCCTCTGTCTTTTAAGAGCAGTTAGTCAAATCTCATGAATTTTATTCCACTCGTCCTCAAGTCTTGATAATTTGACCTGAGCCAGTGTTTTCATTAATTTGTCATTGCTGGGTGAAAACAGTGGGTTTATAAGAAAGATTTCTGGGGACGCATTTACCTAAATAAAGGAATCTGGTCACTTCGGCACAATGTAGTGTAGGGCGTGCAGGTTGCATTTTTGCCAGGAAGGCTTAGAAAAACCTGCCCGAGAAAAGTGTTAGCGATTTGTTCATCTTAAATACCGTGTATTTCAAATTTTTTTCCCCATGAAGGCTCATTAATTTAGATGTTACGGTAGGGATGGGCGGTGTGGATAGAAACGGATATCTGGCACCCTGACACGGTTCCCGGTGTGGCTGGTGAGGTTGGGTGTGGGTAGTCCTGGCCACGCCACCTGCGCACCCGGCCGTGGTTTGGGTGTCGCCGTAGGGAGGTGCCTCCCGGCCCTGCCTCCCCTCCAGCATGGACGGGGTTCTGATTGTTCTAGCTAGAGTTCTTTAATTTTGTTTTAGAGACAATGATGTCTAAATCCAAAAGGCATCTGCTCTGCAGTAATGAAGGGATACTTTTGCTGTTTTTTGGAAGACTCTTACCTCACTAGAGCCACCAACGCCTCCGTATGACTCTGGTCACAGAAAACATAGACTTGAACTTGGTGCAGTGTTTGCTGGACACGATACGTGGGCTAAACACATTCACAGCAGAACCAGGCGCCTCCTGGCCGAGTCCGTGGGGGCCCCTCCGTCTGTGCTCAGCACCCGCACGGCCTCCCTCCTGCACCCTCGTTTCTGTCAGTTCACTGGGTCCCTGCCGGGCTAACAGGACACTGACGTGACAGGTTCTTGGGGCGTGAGAGCAGGTGGCCTTGCCCAAAACACGACACTCCGTGGCCTTGTTTTCCCATGTAGCCCTGGAAGGCCACGGGACGGCTGGGCCGTGGGGGGAGTCTGGACCCACGGCCCCTCCCATGTGGCCTGGGCTTGTTCCTGGACCTTTCTGAGTTCACTTCGCTCATCCAAAAAAATGAGAAAAAACCTGCCCTGCTGAGCTGCTGGGAGAGTCGGTGGGGACGTTATTTAAGGAGGCAGCTGGCAGTGGCAGGTGTGGTTCCTTTCACTGAGAAACCAGAACAGACCCAGCCGGCTCTGCGCAGAAGTAGAAGCACTTAGAGTGAGGTGTGCGCAGAGCTCGGGGCGTTTCGTTGCTGTGGCCTCTGCCAAGGTTGCCCCGGATCCAGTTGCATTGCCTGTGGCCGCATTTCGGCCGCTCACCACACAGCCCCGTGAGATGATGTCAGAGAAACAGTCACAACCCACCATCTCTTCTTTGTGTTGACACTTTGTTTCCTTGGATTTGCCCACAGGTCAAGAGCGTCAAGCGGCGAGACAAGAAAGCCAGCGTGCTTTTCATCGAAGGAGACATGAACCCGAAGGGGCGGGGGTAAGACCATTGCTCCTTGCTCCTTGCGGTGGCCCGAGGTGGGGCCTCGCAGCTCTCGGGGCAGCAGACAGGCCTCAGGCCTCGTCCCGAGCCCGGGCAGATGCCTTCCTGCAACCTCCCCCTAGCCGGGAGGGGAAGCTAGCAAAGGCTGTGTGTGGAGGAACCGTACTTGCTGGCTGTGAAAGGCGGCCACCGGCCTCTCCCTGGACCTCCGTTCCCAAAAACTACAGCAAACCTGGTCTGTGCGGGGGCTGTGAAGACAGCGTCCCTGCCCCCTGAATTTGGCCGTTTTGTTAGTTGGTCGGTCATTTGCCAGTCGTTCCCTGCTCTGTCTGTGATGCTGGGACGTGTAGCTGGTGTGGGGTCATGCCCTCACGGCTGAGGGACCATCACCCTCGACAAACAAGCACATTGGGTAAAGTTCCCGCCCGTTAACGTTTCCCTCTCTCTGCTTCCTCGAGGATCACGGTGTCTCTGAGAAGACTAAAGCACTTTGACTGTAAAGAGAAACAGACGCTTCTGGTAGGTGGATTATTGCTTACGCTTGCCTCTTGGAGCGGTTTATTTTGTGACTCGTGAATGTGGACAGTCAGGGGAGTGGTGCTTGGAGCTGGCGCTGTGCCCACTCTGGGAGCGACTTCTGGCATTGGTTACAACCCCCTGGGAAGTTCCTGCCCTGTTTCCCCATTTACAGGGAAGGAAACCAAGGCCTGGGGTGGCGGGCACAAGGCCAGCTCCTCCCTCGGCTGGCTGTCCCCAGGGTGCCCCAGGCGGGAGCCCCTTGAGGCTGGGGTGCAGGAGGCCCAGGCGCTGGATATGAGCCTGGTGGTCCGTGGGTGTCAAGTGGCAGGTGGTTCCCCAGAGCAGCTCCCTGCGCCCGTGCGTCTGTGGTCAGCCTTTCTCGTATACCCTGCCCACAAGCTACACAGAGTTTGTCCAAGTCAAAATAGTCTGTTTGAAGTTTGGAAATACTCATTTTGTTGTAGCAGCTTTAAAAAAAACAACAAAACCCAAACACTGGGGTAGGCGAATGAGGGGTTCACGGGGCCCCTGGCAGCTCTGCACAGTTGTTTTCGCTTTTCGGGATTCGAGTTTGGCCTCCCATGGGCCTGTGGGCAGGGGTCCAGCCTGCTCTGCCGACCGACTGCAGCCTCAGCCACCCTAGGGGTGGTGTGTGGGTGGGCTTTTCCTGTCCTAACGTTGCCCCTGTGGGAGGCTGACACCCACAGCACATCCCTAGCCTGTGTCTCCGAGGGGGCCCGGCTCCCTGCTGGCTGCTGGTTTGTTCCCTGCAGCTCTCGGGGCACCTGGGGTGCTGAAAGGGGTGGCGGCCATGGTGGGCCTCGTGTCTCTGAGACACTGACCAGTGGCTTGGCCGTGCTGAGGTCACTCTAGAAAGTGTCCCTTTTGCTCTGGGTGCACTGAGATTCGTCTAAGACTGGAGGGACATGTGGGGCGGGAGGAAAACAGGCTCCTTGTTGTAGCTGTGTGTGTCTGAACACATGGAGGGTGGGTTGTCTCACACCAGGGTGCGGGTCACAAGGACACAGGATTGTCCTCGGTGCCCCAAGATGCTGGCAGGGTGCCCGCGGCTACTCAAGCAGTCAGGCGTGTAAGTCTCGAAGTCTGATTCGTGTTAGTGGTAGTAACTGTGGCCCCCAAGGACTGGTTTTGGGGAAGCAGTTTGTTAGGTAAGCACTGGAGGCTGCCGGGCCGGCAGAGATCTTGGGGTGCTAATGGGGTGCCCCTGAGCCCCTGGGCTCCACGGGCCAGTTACCTACCTGGGGATCTGTGGGGCTGCTCTGTCACCTTCCCTAAGGAGCCGCCCGGCTACCATCCCAGGTGCCGGGCCTGAGCCTGGCCAGAGCCACAGCTGCCCGCACTGGCCTCCATGCCTGCCGTGGGGTGGGTGCCCCGAGTGCCCCAGCGCAGGTGCTGTTGGGAAAGCCGGGCTGGGGCAGCTGTCGGGATGGCGGGCGGGGTTGACCCAGGTGCGTCGTCCTGTCCTGGCTCCCTGATTTCACCTTAACGCCCCTGCCCTTTGGTGGCTGGTGGTATCTTGGGTTCAAGTCACAGCTGCCAGAAGTGGACGGACGGGGGTGTCATCCTCATCTTGCTGGTGAGGACGGGGAGGCCTGGGCATGTCCTGGCATTGACACCTGTCCCTGCCCTGGGCTGGCCCCCCTCATTCCAGGCGGTGCAAGCAGGCACAGGCGCCACTTAGAACGAAGTGTTTTGTAACATGTTTTATATTTATTTATTTATTATTTATTTAGAGACAGGGCCTTGCTCTGTCACCCGGGGTAGAGTGTA